CTCCACCCCAAGGCAGGGAAAGTTCCTCTGGGGAGGAGGCATTTGGATGACTGTAAGTCTACGGAGGATAAGCGAGAAGGAATGGCTTGAGCAAAGGTGTGACACCAGGCGTATGTTTGGGGGAACAGCCGGGGGCTTCATGGAGGCCACTGGGAGATGAGGCTGGGTGGCAGGCAGGGTCTGATTTTGTAGGACTTTACGCGGCACACGACGGAGGTCAGGCAGTACCTGACAGTAAGTTCTCAACATCGTCCATGGGTTCTGGGAAACCGTGATTTTAAGCAAAATGATGTACAACCGGTGCTTGAATAAAGGCATTTTTAAAAACATTGTCTCATTATTAAGTTGATGATAAAACATGGGTTATATGTCGTTTCACCTTAAGTTGTGGTTTCTAAGAACCTGTGGATGATGTCGTGAGAACTTCCTGTATAAGCACTAAGCAGCCACAGAAGGCTCCTGAGGGAAGTCCCGTGACTGTGACTGGGTTTAGGGGGCATTGCTCAGGTGGCCAGAGACTGTGGATCTGGGAAAGATGACAGGGGCCAGGGAGAAGAAAGCTTGAGAGGCGATCTAAGAGAGATGCTTGCAAATCAGAGTGTGTCCCAAGGAGAGGGCCAGGATGGTCAGATCAGGTCCTAAGAGCAACTGAGGAACTCTAGACTCAGAGGGGATGACCTGAGGAGAAGACAGTGACTGTAACCCCTCCCACATTTCCCTTTGGGCTCAAATTCTACTTAAGAGCTGGGTGACCCTGGGCAAGTTCATCGGTGTCTCTGAGTTTCAGTTTCCTCTTCAGTAGTATCGGGGGCTTTGGTTTTCAAGGGGCAGAAAACCCAGGGACATTAAATATTGACTCATGAAATAGAAGATTTCAGAGATAGGGCTGCCTTCAGGTGAGATCCACTAGCTCAAAAAGAGTTACAAGACCAACACAGGTGCCCATCAACTGTGAGTTGCATAAAGAAAACGTGGCCGGGCAACTTGGTGAGATCTCATCTCTACAATAAGTCAAAAAATTAGCCGGGTGTGGTGGCGCTCACCTGTGGTTCTGGCTATTTTGAAGGCTGAGGCAGAAGGATCGCCTGAGCCCAGCAGGTCAAGGCTGTGGTGGCCGTATACATGCCACTGCACTCCAGCCAGGATGATAGAGTGAGACTCCAACTCAAAAAAAAAGAAAAAAGAAAAGAAAAGAAAATGTGGCACATATACACCATGGAATACTACACAGTCATTAAAAAAAAGGGGGAATCATGTCCTTTGCAGCAATAGTTACTACAAAGGATTCTTTCTTTCTCTCTCCCTCTCTTTCTTCCTTTTCTCCCCTTCTTTTCTTCCTTCCTTCCTTCCTTTCTTTCTAGTTGGAGTCTCTGTCATCCAGGCTGGCAAGCAGTGGCATAATCTTGGCTCACTGCACCCTGAACCTTCTGTGCTCAGATGATCCTTCCGCCTTAGCCTCCCCAGTAATTAGGACTATAGGTGCGAACCAGCATGACCAGCTTATTTTTGGTTTTTTGGGAGAGACAGGTGTCGCTGTGTTGCCTAGGCTGGTCTCAAACTCCCGGACTCAAGCAGTTCTCCAGCCTCAGCCTCCCAAAGTACTGGGATGACAGGCAAGAGCCACTCTGTATGGCCTTCTGGAGAAAGAATCTTTGTTCCACAAGAGTTCTGAGCATCCCACTGACTGGGCCAAATAAGGTCATGTGCCCGCCACTGAGCCAATCACTGCAGACAAGGGAAGGGCAGTGCTGACTGGAGCTAGGAGACCAGTCCGCGTCCCCAGAACCACCAGGGGCTGCTGGGGAGGGGGGAAAGGAAGCCCTCTGGGAGCTGTCAGTCCCTGTCACCAGCTGTCACTGATACCCACTGCACAGGGTCATTATGGAGATTAGAGATAATGTGTGGAAAGCACCTGGCACACAGTAGGTGCTCCTTGAAAGGCAATTATTCTTTCTGTTGTTACATATAAAAGGCCATCATGAGAAAGAGGAATTAGATTTAATTCTTGGTCCCAAAGGATAAAACTAGCGTCCACAAATAGAAATCCCAGGGAGTCGGGGTGTGATTCCATCTAAGAAGAATTTTCCAATAACTGAAGTTGTCTCCAGTGAGCCTCCCATCACCGGAGGGGAACAAGAAGGAATTAGGATCCTAGCCGTCAGGACAGCTGTAGAAGGGGGTGTGGAGCAGATGCTCTCTGAGGTCAGTGGGATTCCAGGATTCTCTTCTCTAATGGTGGTCTACAAGGCAGAACTGAGAAATGAAGTGATTATCTCTTTAAAAAAAAAGTTAAACCAAGGCGTCAAAAGCATGCAAGAAAAGAGAATTAAGAGCTTAAAACTCTCTGAGCCTCTGACAATCTGGTCCCGAGGGCAAGAGGGATGGGACACAGCCACCCTGCAGAGCGGCTCCCCGAAAGCTCAGGGCTCGGATGGGCCTCAGCTGAGGCTCTGGGATCCCCTGGGAAGCAAGCAGTGGGAACAGAGAATGTCCCAAAGAGATGCCAACAGGCCGTCCTTGGGGTCTCCACTCAGCAGGCTCCAGCCCGCTAGGCCAGGCCAGCGCTGAGGACTGTGGGAAGAGAGCCGAGCCAAAGCGGAGGCTGGTCACAGCAGCCAGAGAGGACCAGAATGGCACCTCAGGTGACGCAGCAGAGGGGCACACCACCCTGTGCATAGGATGCTGGCAGGGACCACCCAGGGAGGACAAGGCCCTGAAGCCCCCACATCCAGCCCCTGCCGTCCTTCCAGGCTGGTCCTCACAGCCCGGCTACTCTCAGTTACATGACTCCTCCTGGAGCTGCTGGCCTTTCCTCCATGCCCCCGTTCCCCTCCTGCTGTCCCCACCTGCCCCTCCTCACAGCCTGCCTTCCTGCCTTCCAACGCATCTCTGCCCTTGAAGGCTCTTCCCAAATGTCAGCTCCTCCTGAAGTCCTTCCTGGTCACTGCACCCACTAGCCACCTCTCTAAATGCCGAAGCCCCAACCACAGTCCCTTGTCTGGGGAACCTGTGTCTTCCCACAATGCCCTGCAGTGGGAACAGCTTTCAAGCAGGGCTGTCTGGGTTTGGCTTTGTAGGGGATCGTGACTCCAGTTGTGGGCTTGTCGGGAAGCTCCAACAAGTCGTGTGACACTGAGGGAGTTCCATAACCTTTCAAAATCCCCCTCCCCCCCATCTGTAAAACAAGGATCACCGTCCTGCCTGGAGGATAGTTTTGAGGAGTCAGTGGATCAAGTAGCGAAGTTCTTAGCAAGGGAGCTGGCAGTAAATGTTAGTTGCTGTCCTCAGCGAGGTCACCACGATGGTATGATCACACAGAGGAACAGAAGCGGCAAGGCAGCAGGCTGAGGGGACGGTGGTGGAGGAGAAGGTGAAGGGGGTTGCCGGAGATAGAGCCATTTGGTCCGCACTCATGGAGCGCCTGCTGTGTGCTGGGCTCTGGAAAGAGGCGCCATCTCTGCCATGATGGAGAAGTGACCCCAAAATATGCAGGCTGCTCTCCCACATCCCAGATGGTTCCAGCCAAGATCCCACTGCCCACCACCTTGAAGTTGTTCCTGCCACGGTTGGTCCCGGACAAACTCCAAATCACTCCCAGGAGAGTTCTGGGAAGGCCATAACATCACACGGGAGCGCAGGAGTGAATTCTTCCGGAGTCTGTCTCTCCGCCTGAGGGCAAGCAACAGAGGAGGCTCTGACACCCGGTTGTCCCGCCCACGAGCTGCGTACACCCAAACCAGTCACTCACCCTCTCTGGCTGGCAGTTTGGAGGCCTCAGCACTGAAGTCCTGCTCCCAGAGAGCTGTGAGAGGCCAGACCTGACACCTGGACACAGGGAGGCCAGGGCCCCTCCTGCCACTGGAGCCCAACACTGGAGGGGGTCAACTTGGGCACAGCCATACCCGGCAAGAGTGGCTTCTCCAAGGCTCGGCAGTGCAGAGGCGGCAGTGCCACGAGCCACGCTGACTCTGGGACATGCCTGAGGTCTCAGTATCCCCCAGGCAACATCCAGAATTTTCTGGGGTGGGGCAGAGCTGGAGAGCAATTGATGAAGACTAATTTCCAAGACAGCCCCATGCCATGGACGACATCTTGCATCTGGGCATTAAAAACAAAAACACAACCTATGATGTCCCCGAGGTGACCAAGTACATGCAAATTTGCAGTGGTGGGCATTTATTGAGCACCTACTATATGCACTTCACACGCGTTATCTTTGATCCTTAAATGTCCCTGTGAAGCAGCTATTGTTCCCATTATAGAGACTGGAAAGTGTGGGCTCAGAGACAGAAAACAACTGGCCCAAGGTCACACAGCATCCAACTGGCAATGCTGGATTGAAACCGAGGTCTCTCTGATTCTTAGGGGACCTCTGAAAACAGGAGGGAAGCTCATTCACTTCACGCAAGTGAGGTTTATTCACAAGCTTTGACAAAACACCCACCACGCCCACCATCACTTAGAGAGCACACCGGACCTGGGTCCAGCTCTGGGGGAATGGGGGGATGAGCCAACCAATGAACAGCGCCGCAGCTTTATCGAAGCTCACACCACGCCGACTGTCAGGTCCCCACCCTCTGCGCCAACCCCTCCCGGCCCACCCGCTGGGCTGCCTTGGTCTTGAACCTGAGCGAAGCCAAGAGCCGCACCCTGCAGATGCCCACTGCGACCGCCAGATGGCGGCTGTTGGTGGCTAAGTCAGACCGTCCCGGGAGACCGGCGGGTCATCTTGGGTGGTTTTCCCTGGAAGGACGTGGCAGTGCCAGGCAAGCTAAATGGCTCAAGAGAAAAGAACAAAGTGCGGCTGTCTCTAGGCATCCGCCGGTACGTGGCTGAAAACAGCCAGGAGGCAGAGCGCCTCGAAGGAATGCAGAACGAGAGCCCAGGGTGACATGGGAGTGTGCAGGCCGCGTCCCAGCCTCCGCCTGGAGTTCGACGGCAGGAACCCTGGCTCCTGCCTCTCAGCGCTGAGGCCCTCCGACCCAACGCCGGTGGGGGCACTAGTCCCTCCTCATGGTGTAGCTCTGGATCACACTATTGAAATAGGCCTGCGTGTTGCGCTCCGGGTAGAAGAGGATCACGTAGCACTTGGGGCCGAAGTAGCCCAGAGTGATGGCCAGGAGGTTGAGCACCATGACCGAGAGGTCCATGATGGTGACCAACACCCCGCTGTAGACAGACATGAAGGTGCAGAGGGAGACAGAGGAGGTGAAGTAGAAGGTCATGCTGAGGGTGACGAACTTGGCCTCATTGTAGCTGGTGGGCAGCCCTTTGCCCACGTAGGCGAAGCTGAAGCCGGCCACCGCCAGGAGCAGGTCCAGGCTGGTGTTGGCCAGCAGCCCGTGGCGGGAGTTGGGGTTGCAAGACAGGATCATGATCCTGGGGTCGTTGGGGTCGGGGTGGGTGGCGGGGCTGCTGCTGGTGGCCAGCACGTTGCCCATCGCGATGACCAGCTTGAGCACCGTCATAAGCGCCACAAAGGCGTAGGACCCGTGGCAGCGGACCCAGAAGCCGTAGGCGCGCGGGAGGCGCCTGGCCATCTTGAAGACGCAGACAATCTGGAAGGAGCGCACGGCAATGCAGGAGATGCAGGTGGTGAAACAGACCGGGAAGAGGACCTGGCGGCAGAGGCACCTGGGGACCGAGGGCAGCCCCACATACACCGGGACCACCGTGTACGCCACCAGCAGTGACGTCAGCATCAGGAAGCACATGGGGCCGCCGGCCGAGCGAACCACGGGCGTCTGGAAATACCTCCAGAATATGGCCGTGGTGGCTAGGGTGCTAAGGAAGCCCAAGATCGCCAGGATGGTCACAGTGATGGTGGGCGCCTCGTGCCACTCCAGGAAGGCCAGCAGCCGCTTGAAGCAGGAGGTGTCACTCCTGTGGGACCACTTGTCGCTCGGACAGGGCTGGCAGTCATATTCATCTGTCGAAGCCCATGGCAAAGCCCATCAGCAACACCCAACTCTCAACGTCAACGCCTGCCTCCTCCGGCCCTGCCCTGGGCCAGGTCCCAGGGGCGAAGAGAGGAGAGCCAAGGGTGACCCTGCATTCCCAACCGACACTCCCTGAGTCCCTTACACGCTCTGGCTCACTGGATGCCCACAGCAACCCCATCGCACACATGGAGGCTCAGCAGGGTTAAGTCATTTGCCCAAAGTCACCAAGTCAGTAAGTTACGGAGGCAGGATTTGAACCCAGGTCTCCTGGACTCAGAGTCTACCAACTATAGTTCCTTCCTTCCAAGGTCTCATTCCCTGGTGGGAGAGACATTCTACCACTTATTCAAAGAATTCATTCAACGAATACTGTCTGAGCACCATCCACCTTGATAGGCACTTGAGGCGGAAGGTGGGCCACAGAGAGAGGCATAAAACCCGGTCCCTGCCTTCAAGCTGCTGACCGCCTGTGAGAGGAAGGCCAGTGAAGTCATTCAGCAAACGTGCTGAGCACCTACGTGTGCCCTGGGCTCTGCTAGGCACCTAGTAAGTGCTTTCATTTCAGGGCAGAGGCAGGCAGAGGATGGCAGGAACTGGCAAAGGCGTGATCATTCACTTAATTAACATTAGTGAGGTCATGGAAAACATTTGAGCCCCAGCTTTGCACTGTGCTAGACACTAATGTGACGGAGGGACAGCACAGTCCTCATCTTCCTAGAATTTATGTTCCACAGGGAGGAGTGTTCATTCTGATCAAGGAAGTCGCTCAACAAACACTCACTGAGCAACCATTATATGCTCTGAACTGCTCTAGGCACTTGGGAGGCCAGAGAGAGCAGAGGCTGCCTCCGTCTGCTGGAAACTTTCCTTCTGCTGGGAGAGCCATTCATTCCCTCGTCATCCAGTGGCTACTCCCTGGCCAGACACCCCAGGCCTGGGCTGTGTGTGTGGAGGGGACCCGCTACTGTCCTGCCTTAGGGGAGTGCTGTCCCTTCTCCTGCCCGCCCCGAAGCAGCCCCTAGGGAGGTCTTTGCTCCACACCAGGTACTGGGGAGATGCAAGAGAAATCAGACATTTATGTTCTTGGGCTTCGGACACTTATGCTTCCTGGGGGAGACCCCAGAGACCTGGCCAAAAGGAAGCGCCCCGGAGACCCCAGGGGCAGGCAGGGACAGGGCAAGGGCAGGCAGGGTCAGGGCAGAGGCAGGCAGGGGCTGGCAGGGGTTGGCAAAGGCGGGTGGAGCAGGCAGGGGATGGGCAAGGGCTGGCAGTACTTGCAGGGGCAGACAGGGACAGGCAGGGGCAAGCAGAGGCTGGCAGGGACTGGTGAGGGCAGGACAGGGGCAGGCAGAGGCTGGCAGGGGTAGGGTGGGGGCAGGCAGGAGCTGGCAGGGGCTGGCAGGGGCAGGGCATGGGCAGGCAGGAGCCGGGCCAGGGCGCTGGCCTGCAGGTCATACCTGCAGTCTGGTTGAGGAAGGTGCCAGGTGGGCAGTCGATGCACTCAAAGCAGCAGGGGTGGATGCCCACAGGCTTCTTCTTTTGCCCAGGCCGGCACGTCTTGGAGCACATGGACACAGGGATCTGGAGGGAGGAGGGCAAGAGAGCCTGAGCCCTCTTTTCCTGGGTCCCCCTCTTCTCCCTGGCTAGCAGGATGCTCAGGAAGGGACGCCTGGTCCCTGCCTGAGAGGAGAAGGGGTGCTAGAATTGCACTAGAATCCGATTTTTAGAGACCCTCTTAGTTTTGCCTTCCGAAGACCTTCTCCACCTTCCTCTGGTAAGAGCACCCAACTGCTGAGCCCTTCTGAGGTCGCTGGCAGGATGGATAGAATGCAACCCCGGGTTGCAACCATCTTGTCACAAAAGAGTCAACATGCCCAAGAAAGAATCTGAGTAATGCAGAGCATGAGACCCTGGATCCATCCCTGCCTGAAGCCTCGCCACCTACCTCTGGAGTCTTCAATTGCATGGGACAATGAATTAACTCTTCCCAACCACTACTCTTAATGGTGATGGCTGACATCCTTCTCTGTCACTTGCAACCAGGACTCCTAATTAACACCGCCTTTCTGGAGGGGAAGGCATTTTTCGAGTGAACAAGAAGCAGGCGGGCAGTTATCCTGCCTATTATTTTCACTGCGATATTTCCAGAACCCAGAGGAATTGCCCAGCACAGAGGGGGCCTCCGATCGCGATGTCTTAAGTGAATGAGTGAATTGCACACAGAGGAATCAGTAGAGAAGTGGGTTGGGGATGAAGAGGAGCAGGAAGATGGAGCATCTGGGCCTGGCTGGAGTCAGGATGCAGAGGGGAGGGCGAGGAAAGTTGGGGGAACATATTCCAAAGGTTCGTCTGTGGTGCACTAAAACTGTAGGGGCCGTGGGAGGCAGCCTTGGTCTTGAGTGAGCGAGCGCCCTGATATGATTTGGGTTGCATAAAATCATTCTGGGGCCAGGTGTTGTGGCTCACATCTGTAATCCCAGCACTCTGGGAGGCCAAGGCAGGAGGATCGCTTGAGTCCAGGAGTTCGAGACCAGCCTGGGCAACACAACAAGGCCCCATCTCTATAAAAAATTTTAAAAATTAGCCAGTCATGGTGGCACGCGCCTCTAGTACCAGCTACTCAAGAGGCTGAGACAGGAGGGTGGCCTGAGCCCAGGAGATCAAGGCTTCAGTGAGCCGTGATCGTACTATTGCACCCCTGCCTGCATGACAGAGTGAGGTCCTGACTCAAAAAAGTAAGATAAAATAAAAATTAAAAAATTAAATCATGATGAGGACCTCAAGAGCAATGTAACAAGGGCCAAGGGCCCAGATGAGGGATGCCTCGGAGGACCACTCGGTCCATGCTCCTCTCATCTGGCCTCTCCAAGGTCTCCTTTCGTGTTCCGCCCTCCAGTTCCTCTCGCCCATGGAATCAGACACCATTTCCAGACATCCCATTCCCCTCTCCAAAACTTCTTCATGGAAGAACCTACACGCTGCTCCATGAGCCAAAATAAAACATCGATCCCTTGCCAGGCTTTCTGGGCCCTCTGTGGTCTTCTCTGCCTCGCAGGTGACCAGACGCATATGTAGGTATGTGTACACCAACACACACACACAGCATACGCACGCACCTTACCAGAGCTGCACCCCTCACTCCCCTGCCAGGTCTCCTCTCCCGCTTCCAAACTCATCTTTTCACTATCTCTTAAGTAATTACACGAATCCTACCTCATACCCCCAGGATCTCACTCTGCTAATCATTCACTCATTCAAGATGTTATGGAGCACATTCGGAGGCCAGGCACTGGGAATACAGCCGTGAGGCTAAGTCTCTGTTCTAAAGGAATTTGTATTCTCCTGGGTGAAGAGAGACAATAAATACGCAATGTGATAGATGGTGAGGAAGACTACGGAGAAAATAAAGCAGTACAAGGAGAGTGGAGAGTGCTGGAGAGCAGATTGCCATTTCAAATGGGGTGGGCAGGAAAGGCCTCGCCAAGTTGGGGGTGTGGGAGCAGAGACCCAAAGGCTATGAGGGAGCACATTGTGAAGACATCACTCCAGGAAGAAGACACAGCATGTGCAAAGGCCCCGCAGTAGCGGAGATTGGGCATAGTTGAGGGATAGCTAGGCCAGTGATATCTCAGACAGAATGGGCAAGAGGAAGAGGGGCAGGGCAGCTCAAAGAAGCGGAGGTGAGAAGCTACGAGAGGATTCCACGCAGAGAGGTGTCAGGATCTGACTTTGTTTTAACAGCATTGCCCTACTTTCTGTGTTGAATATAGACTGTGAGGGGCAGGGGCAGAAGCGAGAGACCAGGTGAGATGATACTGCAATAGTCCAGGCAAGAAGGGACTGGGGCTCTGACTAAAGAGGTGCAATGGAAGAGACGAGAAGTGGTCAGATCCCGGATGTGTATTTTGCAGGTAGACTGGACAGGGTTTCATGGTGGATTTGATGAGACAGGAGTTGAGGTTAACGCCAGGGTTTTTGGTCTGAATAATGGTGTTCCCTTCTGCTGAGAGGGGACGATCTCAAGGGCAGTTTTGAGTAGGCAAATGAATATTTAAATGGAAGGTCAGGGGAGAAGTCCAGTCTGAAGATACAAAATTAGGAATTGTAAGCATGTGGATAATATTTCAAGCCAGGGAGACAGAAAAGATAATAAATCCATTGTCTGGGTCCTGGAACCCTCCGGGGTTAAAATTCAAGGAGATGAGGAAGAACCAGAAAAAAAGACCCCAATGAAGTAGTCATGAGTATAGGAAAACTGAGAGAGAGAGAGAGAGAGGCCTGAAATCCAAGTGAGGATATTGTACCCAAAGAGAAGTCATCAGTTGGGCCAAATGCTGTTCGCAGTGACCACAATGGCAACCACTGGATTGTTAATTCACAGACATTGGAAACCTTGACTAAAGCAATTTCAGAAGAATGGTGTGGATGAAAGCCTCATTGGAATGGTTTAAGAGAGATTGGGAGGCGGGGCGCAGTGGCTCAAGACTGCAAGCCCAGCACTTTGGGAGGCCAAGGTGAGAGGATTGCCTGAGCTCAGGGATTTGAGATCAGCCTGGGCCACTTGGCAAGAACTCATTTCTACGATAAATCAAAAAATTAGCTGGGCGTGGTAGCAGGTGCCTGTAGTTCCAGCTCCTTGGAAGGTTGAGGTGGAAGGATTGCCTGAGCCCAGCAGGTTGAGGCTGCGGTGGCCATGAGTGAGACTCCAACTCAAAAAAATAGAGAGAGAGAAAGAGAGATTGGGGGACCTCTGGTTTCCAGTCTAGTGTGTAAGGAGTTTAGAAGTCATCATTCTCATCCTCACAACAAGATAAAAAGCTGACTCAGTGGCGACTGGCTTTGTGAGTTAGCCTTGTTGCGGCATTTAGGTGTCTGGACGTGTTTGCCGATATGCAGGATCTTCGCACTAATAGGTCAAAATGCAGATCTTCGTGAAAACCCTGACCAGCAAGACCATCACCCTACAGGTTGAGCCCAGTGATACCATTGAGAATGTGAAGGCCAAGATCCATGATAAAGAAGGCATCCCTCTCGACCAGCAGAGGCTCATTTCTGCAGGCAAGCAGCTGGAAGATGGCTGCACTCTTTCTGATTACAACATCCAGAAAGAGTCAACCCTGCACCTGGTCCTCCATCTGAGGGGTGGCTGTTAATTCTTCAGTCTTGTATTCATGGTGCCCATCGATGGCATTACTCTGCACTATAGCCATTTGTCCCCATTTAAGTTTAGAAATTACCAGTTTCAGTAATAGCTAAACCTGCTCAAAATGTTAATAAAGGTTTTGTTGCATGGTAAAAAAAAAAAAAAGAAAAGAAAAAAAGAAAGAAAGAAAGCTGAGCAAACTGAAAATCAACAACTTCATCAGAAAACTGGGGTCACAGAGCAAACTGCAGCCCCCAAAACTAGAGAATGCACAGAGTATCCAGAGCATACAAAGAAAATTCAGCTTACTGGGAGCAGAAACTGCCACTGAAGACAGTAACAGGTAGGAAAACATAAAGAAAAAATGACTGATTGCTGGAGACTAAGTGTGGACTAGCATAGAGATTAAAATGTCTGGGGCACAGCCTTAGGTATGCCCCAATGATTTCATAAGTTAACCCCCAGATCCTTCCAAGGATTGTAGGGTGAGGATTAGAGAAAAATACCCTCATGCTTCCAGCAGAAAGAGGAAGAAAGTAACCTTTTTTTTTTGGAATTGGAGTCTTATTCTGTTGCCCAGGCTGGAGTGCAGTGGCACACTCATGGCCACCACAGTCTCGACCTCCTAGGCCCAGGCAATCCCTTCCACCTTAGCCTTCCAAGTTGCTGGAACTACAGGCATGTGCCACCATGCCTGGCTGATTTTTTGATTTATTGTAGAGATGAGATTTCACCAAGTTGCCTAGGCTGGTCTCGAACCCATGGGCTCAGGCAATCCTCTCATCTTGGCTTCCCAAAGTGCTGGGATTATAGGCATGAACCACCTGTCCGGCCAAAAGTAACCATTTTGAAATATGCCCAGGGCATTCTGTTCTCCTTAACAAAGGCCTATCCTCAAGAAAACGTATTTTACCGGAACTCAACTGATGTGGGTTTTACCAGGGCTTAAATGACATGAAGGAAGGGAAATTCTTAACTCTAGCCCTCTTGAACCTTTCCGTCTTACCTAAGGTGGAGGTCCAGGGAATGTTTTGAAGCACTTGTGAAGGACAAGGTTCTGGGACACAGAACGGAAACATTAAGACCTAATCATAGGATCATAGAACACTCTCCCCCCACACCTCATCACCACATCAATCAGACTCTTATATAATAACAGGATTACAACAGAAAGAACTGCAAGGCTCAGATACAGAAAAAGGAGTCTCTAGGGAAACACAAAGACAATAAAAGAACACAAGAGGAAATTTTGGCCTCTCACACCTGGCTATTTGTTTACATTAAATAGTAAACATGACCTAACTCCTATCCAGAGGAACACAAAACTTTACACTAAAGGTTTATTGCCTTCAGTTTCTTTTACCCAATGCATCACGTCTGGCTTTCAATAAAAACTTACAAGACAAGCTAGAAGGCACAAAACATAGTCTAAGGGGTA